AGAGAGAGAGAGAGAGAGAGAGAGAGAGAGAGAGAGAGAGAGAGAGAGAGAGAGAGAGAGAGAGAGAGAGAGAGAAAGAGTTGAAGGATGTGCAGATATGCCTCTGCAACTTTGGTTCTGCTAGACAGGAGGACAAAAACAGCACGGAACAAAAAACGAACCACACAGAGACGTAAATAACTGTTTTGTCATCTCCCACTTACTTAATATCAGGAAGCCGGCTGAGCCTTCGACAGTGTGCTGAAACCGAAGTCCTCTTCTGCTTTGAAGTTGGAACTCAGATGGAAGTGCGATTCAAAGGGTTCTTCTCTACGGATGGCACATGCCCCAATGCTGCACACACCGCGCCCTTGCCAACTCATGAGGTGGCCGAACCCTCGACCCCTCAGATTGGCGAAGTTTGGACCCACGTGCAAGCGGGCAAGCAGGCAGGCAGGAAGGCAGGCAGGCAGACAAAGGACACAAGGTAAAGAGCAGCAAGGCAGGCAGGCAGGGGGCATGTGCCGAAAAGGCAGCAGCAAGGCACACAGGCAGGCAGAAGCGAGGCACGCAGGCAGGCAGCTGCAAGGCATGCAAATGGGATGTCAGGGGGTAGGTGGGCGGATGACGAATGACGATCAAAGCAGCAAGGGAAACAGCGAGTGTTAGCAATGCAGACCGAAGGAAGAGACGGCAGGACAGCAAGCAGCAAGGTGACGAGGCAATAAAAAGAGCACGGGGCAGTCAGGCGGTCGATTGGAACGGCAAGCAGCAAGGCTCAAAGGCAAGCAGCAGCGACAACGAGAAAGAGGACGAGAACGGGAACGGGAACAAGAACGCGAACGAGAACGAGAACGAGAACGAGAACGAGAACGAGAACGAGAACGAGAACGAGAACGAGCACGAGCACGAGCACGAGAGAATGAGAGACTTTCCAATCCCCGTCCCCCCTTTGTAAGAGCAGGCATTATCGTAAAGAGAAGTTCCCTATCCTTCGAGCTGTACGTGCAACTTTCATTCCATACAGCTCTGCGAGTAGATCTCACAAGGACGCCGCAAGAACGAGAACAGGAAGGGCAACACAGAGGGAACACGTGAGACATGAAAATGGTTTAGGAAGTGGGAAGCAGGAAAAAACGAGGTGGCGACAGGAAAGAGGGAAATGAATGCGAGTCAGAAGACGTCGTGCAGAATGTCATTGAATGGGACACACACTGGCATCATCAACTTTGGACTGGAGCACACGGACGTGCTCGCACAAAGCGAAAGTATAAATCGCACAAGATTCATGTGGCTCAGCGACGGATCACCGCAAGTCGAGTGTGACGACCACAAACAAACACGAAGCACGACAAAGGACAGGCTATGGCCGCATATAGCCTTCCTCTGGCCAAATTCCACAATTACTAGGTTTCAGTCCACATGCAGGACCCGGCCTCGGCAGGGGAAGAAACCTCTCCTTGACTAGAGGAGGACCACGAGAATTGGGACAAAGCGAAGGAACAAAAACACAGAAAGACTTGCTGAAACACAAGAGGTGCAAGGTCATCAACTCACTAGGAATCGAGCCCCTGATCTGCCACCAAAGAGGTGGCGGGTTCACTCTTAACCAATACAGGTAAAGTGAGCTGGGATTACAAAAGAACTTTAAAAAATGAGTAGGAGAAGGGGGTTGTAGGAGGTTTGCACCCTCACCTGGTTGCAGAATATGTCCGACGAAAGCAACGTGGAAAGGATTTCCTTCGACTGTACACACGCAGAAGAGACAGGGAATGCACAATTGTTAGCACAATGGCACATTAGGGGAAGAAAAAGGAAAAAGGGAAACATCTTAGAGATCAAGAGTAAACTTTTTCTGTCCTTTGGGACATCCATTAAAATTGGAACGATACATAGCAAGAGAAGATTAGCATGGCCCCTGCGCAAGGATGACACGCATAAATCGAGAAATGGTCCTTAGGGAAAAAAAAAAAAGAAAAAAAAGAAAGAATGAACTTTTCTCTTGAAAAAGGGAGACAAACAGACAGACAGAGACAGACACACACACAGACACGCAGACAGACACACAGACAGAGACACATGGTTTTACCGCACAATGTGAGTAGGAGATGGTCCGCTTTGATTCTTGCTGCAATGCTGTGTTCCCTCACGATGTGAATAGGTGTTCATTCTCTTGTACCGCATGCCTTGCCGCACTGTTGTGGGCCTGCACGCCCGCCCACCTCCCTGTTCTCCACCCACCCGCCCACCTGGCCGCCCACTCCCCCGCTCACCAGCCCACCTGCCGACCCACTCGCCTTGATATATGTTGCGAAGCGCCTAGTACTTGCTGCGTTGCTGTGTGTGCCCACCTACCTGCCTGCATGCCTGCCTGCCTGCCCCTTCCTATAAGTTGCCTTGTCCATCCCTAGCTGCATGCCTTGCCTGATTTTCCAACCCCCCTGAGAGTGCTTTGTCCATCCCGAGCTCGCATCAAGGTCTGATGCAGGTAAGGACTCATCGCACTCTCAGGGGATTTTCTGAAGACTGCAGATTGTTCAGCCTCCTGATGAGTCTGACAGAGTGCAGGTCCAACGAAACAGTCTGTCCCTACTGCTGTATTCTCTGTGTGTACGGCTTGTATGGAGTTCATACAAATACAAATCACGCACGTAGGGGTAGATTGGTGGTTATACTTCGTCCTCCGAGGGACAAGTACTGATAGATTGGTTATGCCCGGTTCTTACGAGGACCGATTTGCAATTGTTTGTAACAAGACATAGGATCCACTTGCAATTGGTTGTAACAAAGCATACTTATGAGGATCAATTTGCAATCGGTTATAACAAACACATACTGATGAGGATCGATTTGCAATGGGTACTTATGAGGATCGATTTGCAATCGGTTGTAACAAACACATACTGATGAGGATCGATTTGCAATTGGTTGTAACAAAGCATAGTACTTGCATTACCAATCTTGCCGATGCCAGGGCACGCCACAAACACCCCGGATAAAGCATTACTGCAAGCATCATCCAGCTTGGCTTAAACCGCTAGTACACGGCCCCAGCATTGCAGAAAGTTTTTGCCGCCACAAGCAAATCTCGGAGGCGCCACGCGGTCAGGCCCACCGTTGACAAAAAAAAAATTGGCAGCCTCTGAAGTGGTGCAGGTTTCATGCTGACACCCACGGACCGCTATGTGGTGTACTGGTGCTTTAACAGGGCAGAACCTTTCCCAAACTGAAAAAAAACAAATATGCGGCTCCTTTAACCCCCTGCATCTTTCGGGAAGTACCAGGGCAATTTTTCAATGGATATCCCCCATCCAGGCAAAACTGCCCTCGCATGCAACCCCTTTTGCCAGTGACACCCCCCCCTCCTTCCCCCCCCCCTGCAGTGGATGGATGGATATCCAGCGAAACGTTCCAGAGAGTCGCAGCTGTATATGCGGCAGCCCGACTCTGAAAAAATAGCTGGGAACGGTACTCGTGGTCCATGGCCAAATTTAGCTAGGAAAGGTACTGGTGATCCATGGCCACATTTCATCCACAGCACTGGGCTGCTGAACTATCTAACCTAATTTACCTACGGCTCAACTGCCCTACTCAGCTGTCTACAGCCTAGCCTACCTACCTCCTCTTTTTTTTTGGGGGGGGGTAGGAAGGG